AAATTTACCCACCAGGCTGTTAACTGCAAAGGATTTTCTTTGAACAGTGAATAATCCATAGTGATGTTCTTATACTTTCATTCTGTAATTGGAATTAATAACTAACAGATTGCAAATAATGTGTCTAAATAGAACAACTGCTGTTTGTTCTGTGAAGTTGTACCTCCTTAGGGTTGGAGATGATCTTGTTTATTTTTGCTATAGGGCACATGTGCTTGTTAGAGAGAGAGGGAGAGAAATTGCTCCCCAGAAGGGAAGGCATGTTGCAATCTCTTCTCCTCCATTCTCTTCTCAGGATTTGGGGCACCTATGCACATGTGCTCAAGGATCTGGGACTCAAACTGTGAAGCGAGCATATGGGATCCAGTTGCCTTAACCTCTATGCCACCTGCTGGCCCCGAGATCAGCTTCTTTATCAACGTGATGCATTCCCATTCTATATGCTTTATTATTGTTACTTATATAAGAAAGGATGAACAGTTAAATTTGCAGGTCAAGCTATAACCCTTGCAAGTATTCAATTCCATTAGTGTTCTGTGTCTTGCAAGGAATTGCGGGCACACTTGTTTCTCATCATCATTTCAAATACTTCTATGTTTTAGATTTATCAGCTTCTAATAATCGAGCATTCAGCATAACCCAGAGTGATGTGTACAGAAACACATTCAAGAAAAGCTCAAACCAGGAGGCTGCCAATCTGCTGTAGGACTTTAACCTGCTTTCTTTTAATAATGCTGAAATATAGATCCTAATTTATAGGCTTGGTGTGAATATTATTAAACCTCCCCACTGTTCCCTTGTGCTTGGACCGTTCACTGACCTGTGAAGATAGCTGAGTGGATAAATAAGCTTAGACCTGGCAAATCAGAGGAATATTAGAACTAGAACTCATCTTGATTTTTTTAAACAAAGCTTTATATTACATGATGTATTCATTGTTTTTAAAACAAGGAGACAGAAAAATAGAAAATAATATATATAAACTGACCTTCACTCTTTTATGTCTAAAAATAGTGGGGTAATTATCATGTATCTTAGCCTGCTGCCTCTCCCCCTCTCATGTAAAACAAAAACAAAATGCTTTCTTTATTCATGATAGAGTGTGTTCATGCACAAATTAAAGTAAAAGAGAAAGAGAATGAACGAAATAGATAAGCACCCTCCCCAGGGTCTGTCACACCCCAAGTCCCTTTCTCCAGGTTTCTGGCTCATCAGATAGTGGGTACTCACATGCTGGTGTTTGTTAGTTTGTCTTGTTTCATTTTATTTTTTAGGATAAGGCCAGGGATTCAAACCACAGTCTCTGTGTGGGATCTGGCTTTTACTACAGAGCTTGTGTGCTCATCAGAGAAAGAGTGAGAAAAAGTGAAAAATTACCACCCTTGGGGGAATAGCCCATGCCACAATTTCTTCTCCAGTCTCCTCTCAGGATTCTGGGCATGCACACACATGTGCCTGGCATGATTTATCAAGCTGAGTTCAGGATTTGAACGCTAAAGATGGCCATGTCAGATCCAGTGCCTTAACCACCACACTACCGCTGACCCAAGGGAATCTGGCTTCTTGAGATGTAACAGCTTTACCACAGAGCTGATCCTCTACACTCACTTCGCATTTGCTGATAGTTGCATGAGCTACGTTTGGCTTGGCCTCTGGAAGCAGAAGAGAGGATACAAAAAGAAGAGCTACTGAGGGAGAGGAGGCCTGAGGGCCGAGAATCAGCTCCTGGCATTTATTTCTCCATGTATTCTTTTCTCTGTGCCTTCCTCAAGTGAGCGGTCACCCATGTTCAATGTTGCCAGAAAGCAGGGAAGATTAATGCTATCAGGGTTCTTTAGCTTGAGGCAATTAGAAGCTACTGGTGACCTTTGGAAAGGTGAGGACACAATTCAGATGTCTGCTGAGTGAACATGATGGGGAAGTTGAGCTCTTCTGGACCACTATCTGTGAGCCTCCTAGAGCTGTTCACGTGCCATCTGAGCAAACGCAAGCAGAGACCCAACACCCTTCCTGTCTATTCTTTGCAACAGTTACACAGAGACGTATGATATTGAATGTGAATTTAAAGACTGTTTCTTGAACAAGTGAAAGAAAGAACCTACATGGAGGGAAAAAGACTGCTAGATGGAGTCTAGCGATAATAACTACGTGTTTATATTTTGCCATAGAGTGGGCACCACCACGCCCCACTATATGTTTATATTTTGAAGTTTTATACTGAGAATTGATATCATATTATTTTGAGTATTAGGCAGAGTCATAAAGAAACATAATAGTAATAATAAGAACACAGATTTGCACTGGCATAAAGTCTGATGGTTTATGAAGTGTTTTTTTTTTTTTCCACATTGTCTAATTCTTTCTGTAAAAGTGAATTACTAGTCATTTAGAAAGGATTTTAAATTAAAGGATGTTAAGGATAAGACTTATATCAGAATGTAGGAAAATTTCTTAAAATAGTTTTGTAATTAATGTTAACTCATAATGTTGTGTGGTTAAAGGGAAAAACCAAATTAGCACCCAAGATTACTCCTGGGATCCAGATAGGTAGGTAGAAGCATACATAGTCATTTATGTATTATGAATTCTTTTATTTTGTCTCAATTACATGTGAGTCTGGACTTTACACAGCTCTATGTGGCATTTTAGACTCTTAATTTAAAGTAGCATGTGTATGTATTTCATTTTTTTTCTTGATAGAATGTTTCCATGTGAGAGAGGAGAGAGAGAGAGAGAGAGATGTCTTCACAGAGTCTTATCATACCAAGGTTCCCTTCCCTGGGCTCCAGCTCACCAGGATCTTGGGCAGGCACACATATACCCAGTGTATTTTCAAGTGTACTGGGTATCCAGACCCACAGTCGGCCTTATGGCTTCAGTACTGCAGTTCAATTTGGTTCTGAGAGAACCACCAGGCTGAGCCTCTAGGCTCCCTATTCAAAGCTGTGCTAGAGAGTGGAAATGTTGGGAAGAATTCAGAAAAAAGTTATAAAGATTACCAAAGGCAAAGAAAAAAAGACCCACAATGAAATAGATATTCAAATAAAACTTTGGTAAATTTTTATTCATTGTTTCAGAGTTCATAATCATTTCCACAGTATAGCCACTCAGTGGGAAGGGCTGATTCCAACAATCCTAAGAATAATGACCTTTAAAAGAGTAACTGGCTCCAAGAGTAACTCCAAGAGTAACTCCTAGAGTAATTCCAGAGTAACTCCAGACTAACCAGAGCACCAAATATTCTTTGGTTTATCTAGGTTCAGCTTCTTTGGGGAGATAAGAACAGTCTAACAAGATTTTATGGTGGTTCATGACTGGCTGTTTGCAGCAAGGACAGAACAAAAAGGAATGTGTCAATCCATTTGGACAAAGTAAGCAGTGGAGGAGTTGTTTTAAACAGAGGTCGTGTGTATGTGTGTGTGTGTGTGTGTGTGTGTGTGTGTGTGTGTGGTGGGGTGGGGGTATGGAATCTACTTCCTCGGCGAGTTTTAAAAATAGGCCAGGCTCTCATCTCTCTGGGATGGTTTCAGCCTGCGAATAGCTAGAGGACAGCCACGGGTCCTCTCAAGTTCCCATCTATCTCTATGAGACTATACTCAAACACAATACCCAAGGAGGCCTCTCTGGCAGGGCAAGCTGCAGTAACCAGGTTCATTTCTCATGGCAATACTTCCTCACCACGTGGTATGATGTCTACACAGGTAGGGCGAAGTGAGGTATTTCCCGAGCTACACTCTGTCGGCATGGCCAAGACCCAGCGCTCCCTTGACCAGCATTGCCTGTCAGCTGAAAGCACCAGAGATACCAGTTAGTACTGAATGATAGTGCTCTGTTGCATTTACTTGTCACATGTTTTCATGGTGTGTGTGTGTGTGTAAATAGAGTAACACTAGCTAGAAAGGAAATTCAGTTAAAAATCAGCAAAACACATGGAGAAAGAACTTTAATGTTCTCCTGAGGTTAAATTATGATGCCTACCATTTGATTCTAACATTAGGTCCTAACATTTAGCATTTGACTTTAACGGGTCTTCCTGGGTCTGGGACCTATTCAGCATTGCCTGTTGTTAGCAGATGAGATTTTCCTCTTGGAAAATGAGCTCTGTTCCGGTCTCCTGGAGCTACTCTGGAATGGTCTGTTTCTTACAAGGACTGAGGAGACAGCATAGCTGACAGGCACAGTCGGAGGTAGCTTTAAATATCATGCACCCCATCATTTGGTGGGTGGGCGTGTTGTTGCTAACTGTGCTTCCACTTCAACAAAGAGAATGGTGAGTTGCCAAAAACAAGGATGTTCTATCTTAAAGATTATGCTGAATTCTTTCCAGAGAAACATTTTTTTTTAATAGAAGGGTTTTATCCTAAAATATTTTCAAAATTTGTTTAGGTATTATATCCAAGGAAAGTAATTTAAGTACTGTGACATGTAACTAGGAGCTATAGAATAAGAACAACTTTTTTTTGACCAAGGTCTATACTGTATTTTTTCATCAAAGGCTCTCAAGTGACCTGTGTGCGTTGGGGGCCACAGTTTTCTAGGTTGGCCAAAGGGACCCTGAATCTGGCAACCAACAGCCTAGAAAATTTACAAACAGGTGGTGAAAATATGATTTTGTTCTTTTTTTAATTGTCCTCTCCTCTTTGATGTCCCAAATGCTGCTTTTCTGAAAGGTCACTTTAGTTTTCTTCAGGAAAAAGAGTCTTTTGTTCATCTCCCAAATGCTAAGTTGATGCCCTTCCCTAGAAGTCTTCCCGTTAATTGAGTTGGCCTGAAGGTCATAAACCACAATCAATATGGAGGCTGTTGCAGCAAGGTGCTAATTGACATCCCCAAAGAGGAATAGTGTCAACAATCAATAGAGAAGACAGAGCCCTGGTAGATTTATGGCTTTGATTTTGAAAAGGTATGGGAATGCCCAGTGATGTTTTCCCCTGTACTCCTTTTGAATGTTAATGCTTTCTTGAAGATGATTTCAGACACACTGCTAGGATACTGCCTCTACTCACTGAAGCAGAATCCTCTGAAGAGTTGCTGAGGCAGAACTGAAATCATGGCTCGCCTCAAAGAAGCAGCTGTATTGGCCGCTAATGATGCCTCACACAGGAAGACGATGCTCCTTTAACTCGGGGTTTCAATGGGAAGTTTCTAAGCCTGAAACAACAGCTTTAGATCTGGGGTGTGCCATCAGCTGCTCACAGGCACCACCGTCCACGGCTTTCACACAGCTTGGCTGGGAGGAATGGACACGGAAGAGGCTGGTAACTACCTGTAACTGCTCCAGCAGGAGATGAATCAAGTGTTTGTTCAACCAGATCCAGGTACTTGACCAAACTGCCTCTCTGATGGGCTAATGAGCTGCTTTCCTCTAACTTTACCATTTATGCATGAACAATAATTGCTTAGATGGCTTTCGGATCCAAGTTCTGAATTTAGATCTAGCTGTTAGAAAAAGTCTAATTAAACAGTTGCTAGGTCAAGTTAATATGATGGGGTAAAATGTAATAACGTCTTTGTTTTTTCAGCATGCTTAAGTTGATAATGTTACTGATACTGGATAAAGAGGTAGTGAAACAGACTACCCCGCCCCCCCCCAAGCTGCAGTAAATTATTTTTGAAAGCTGTTTGCCCATTCCAGTATTTTTTTTTTCCATTCACCTAAAACGTTCCACCTTCCAAATCGTAAGCAGGATATTTTGACTTGTTTACAAGGGATCAGAACTGAACCACGCACGATGGGAGTGCTGACTGCTCCCGGGTGGCAAGCAGCGTACAGCACTAGCCTTTGGGGTATCAGCAAGCAGTCTCTCTCCCCATGAAACGCACAGGAAAGAGAAAGAAAGCCCGACTAGCACAGCGGGGGCTATTGTTTAAAGTTAGAAGTTCTAGTTCATTAATGGTGTCTTTTGATACCACCGGTTACGGACTGGACACCCACCGGTTACGGACTGGACACCCTCGTGGTGTTTTCCTGATGTGCTCAGCTAGGCTGCAACCTTGCCCTGCAGTCCCTTTCAAACTCTTTGAGCAGGAGTTTGGAGGAAGAGGAAGATAGGACAGAAGTAAAGTTGAGGTCAAGGCTCGTTGTGAAGAGAAAGATCTCCTGCTGACCAGAGCTGACAAGTAGCAGTAAGTCAGAATGACAGGGTCCTCTCCCAAGCCGAGGCGGACAGGTCCGCAGACTGCTATTTCGGGGATGAGCAGAAAACAGACCTCCTTGGTGGCAATGGGGGCTAGCAACAGTTCCAGAACTGCCTGTTGACATTAGTAACTGACTACATTCACATGGTTTTCAAACCATTTGGGCTTTCTAGTAACCCTGCGTCTATTTTTTAAGAGTTTAAAATAACATTCACCCTTAGCTGTCCTGTGATTTTGGAAGCATCAGGGCTATTGTATTAGAATAAGCCTGTGTTTGGAGTATATGTATACATAAATATTATCATGTATTTATGTGTGCCCCAAATGAGGGGCTTGGGGGCTCTAAAATGTATGCAGTACCTAGACAGAGTCAAGAATCTTTACCTGAAGTTCTTGGCCAGTCACTTAAAGGGCCACAAATTCTTTGAATTTATGCATATTGCAACATTCGGTGTCTTTGGGTATATGTCCTGCAAGTTACTGTCCACTAGGCTAATACACAGAATTCTCCAAAGATTCACAAGGGGGTAACTTTTGCTTATATAGGAATTCAGTTCCTTAGCTGAAGTGGCTTACGTGCAGGGCTTATCATTGTGGAGGGAGGTATGTAACAGCCTGGAAGGTCCGCATGGCTGGGGTGGATGAGTGGGTCAGAGAATGAGGTGTACCTTGAGGGACTCCACTTATAAACAGGAATGCAGCTGAGGCTTCCTTTAGCTCAAAAAGTAAAGAGAGAGTCTATGTAGCCTCAGTCTGCGGGTATGTATGACTTCAGTCATTGAAAGCGGGCTGACATTTCAACAGTCAGCTTCATAACGGTTGCAGAATAATGCAGCACTTTGAGTAAGTTTGTCTCCGCCAGTCGCTGCACATTCAGTCCTGTCTAGTCAGCCAACTCTCTTCCTGTAACAGTCTTCAGACTGGTCTCACTAGCCGTCCAGATAAATATAAGTAAGTACACACAGGATGTCTTTGTAGGACAAGGTGTCCTGTCCATCACACCTGAGCATAAACTAGACACGCCTGTGAGTGTTCTTGCTTAATGGACGAGCTGTTTTTACACCTCCTTTTAAAAATATGTCATGTCACATAACTAGGTTTCTGGCCTCAAAGTTTAAAAAAATTAGGTCTGGTAATTATGTGGTTTAGGAGTACTTAAAATACAGACAGAACTGCTTAACTGTACCCTACATGCCATTAACAGCTGAGGGATGATAATTTTTAACTCATTCCAACATGCCTGAGAAAAAGTAAGGATCCAGCATCCTTGGGAGGCTCCTTTGGTATGTTTTCTTTTTTCGGGGAGAGATTTTCGCTATAGGGCGCGTGCGCTTGCCAGACAGACAGAAAGAGACATAGAGACAGAAAGCGAGAAATCACCCCCCAGGGGGGATGGTCACGCCACAATCCATTCTCCTCCATTCTCTTCTCGGGATCTTGGGCATGCACGCATACGCGCCCAGCGTGAGTTTTAAGCCACCGGGTCTGGGATGCGAACCACGGTCGACTATGTGGCAGTCCAGCAACATAGCCATTACGCTAACTGCTGGTTCCTTTTTCTTTTTTCCTTTTCTTTTTTTTTTTTTTTTTTTTTTTTTGGTTTTTTTTTCTTAAAGCGCGTGCAC